TTTTAATACTCAGCGCTTTTTCACATGAAAAGACTGGGACTAGGTGATTTGGGGGCGGGGCGGAGGAAGCAAGTCTAGAAGGCCTAGTGGATTTCCCAACAACAAGGCCAAAACTGCCCTGAAACTGCCCTGGTTGCGAAATGCCCAATTATTGCGTTCTCAAACAGAATTATTTGCAACTTAACGGCGAATTTAAACCGATACAGGTAAAATAAACTCATTTATACTATAAACTTACTATTTTTATTTGTATGCACGTCTAGAAAATCGGGGTTTTAATCATAAAGTTCGAAGCAACACTATTATTTAATGTGTTGACAAGGTGTAGCGAAAGCACAAAATGAGTCAAAATATATACCAAAAGTAGAATCTTTCATGAAATTTTGTCTTATACACAACTACATTAATATATATTTTCTCAATTTTGGCAAGAAGCAGTCTTGTGTTTGTAAAATATACAAACACATATACAATTATAATTTATTAAATAAAACGGATACATATATTATTAGCCCGTACAGTACTGTATATAAAAACGTACATTGTTTACAAATGGTATATCCGTAATATTTGAACAATAATTTCAAAATCCTCATTCCCAATTCGCAAATATAGTTATTCAAAGCAAAACAGTAGATTGTCTTGCGAATAAAAGAATTATTATTTTGTGCTTTCGCTTCACCTTGTCAACATAATAATAGTATTGCTTCAAACTTTATGATAAAAAAACGATTTTCTAGACGTATATACAAATAAAAATAGTAAGTTTATACTATAAATGAGTTTATTTTACCTGTATCGGTTTAAATTCGCTGTTAAGTTGCAAATAATTCTGTTTGAGAACACAATAATTGGGCATTTCGCAATCAGGGCAGTTTCAGGGCAGTTTTGGCCTTGTTGTTGGGAAATCCACTAGGCCTTCTATTTTTTCGCTTGCGTCAGGTTTGTGTCCTTCCTCCGCCCCGCCCCCAAATTACCTAGTCCCAGTCTTTTCATGTGAAAAAGCGCTGAATATTAAAAAAATATAAATAAAAATAGAAGGCCTAGGTCTAGGCTGGGCCTTGCATTGTCTTTTATACTTGCGAGCTTTCCGCGTGACTAAACACACTTTTCACTAATTCTGTCGAGATTACTCAAGTTATGAATATGGAAATCAACGAGTGTGGAAGCCCAGTGTGATTTTGATATAATTTCTGGCTTCTGCTAAGATATTTTAGCTCACGAAATGCATGTGAACAGACTCGACTGATGATTGTGTATTTTTATAATACAATATAATGGGGAATACAAACTTCATTTGTGAAGATTGTCGTATTGATATAAAGTAAGAACGTAATATTTACTGCCAGTTCATCTGCTTTGTGCATTTGAAACGAGCACTTATATGGAGTTTAATTTTAAAAATGATATACTGTACCAATTCACACTGTTTTAAATGTAGATATTTAAACGCTATATTAATAATATCATAGGCATAGCGTACTGAATTACATTCAGAGTGCTGAGTGCCAGGCGTAGTGATCTGTAGTTGATACCACTCCATTACTTACGCTCGTGTTCCAAGATCCGCCATGTAAAGTGTAGTGAAACGTATCTCATCGAAATGTTAATCCTAAGAAAACTAAAGCCTCTGCGGAGGAGAGAGACTCCATTATATAACGCTTAACACATTATTAACAAACGTAGTGAATTTTTAACGAATGCTAGCGGTAGCGTTATAGTGTATAAAATTAACGCCGTGTTCAACAGTATAATAGTTACGCAATTGTTGACTATGTGCATGAGGTTGGATTATGTGTTGATCAAGTGAAAGATCGTATTACAGACGCGTATTGTATACATGATATTTTCCTCTTCGTGACTATATTTAGTTACATTTTCAGCTAAGTTGAAAATATATATAGTGAAATATGATAAAAAAATGCATGGATTTCAAAAAGTTACAATATTTTTTTTCTAAAAAAATTATCAAAATTTTCCCGCTAATCACGCAATTTTTTGATGTTCCCTTTGGAGTATTTCGCCGTGAAATCGCAGGAAATGGCCATTCCAGACTTCTAAAATTCAAAATTTCCCGGGGGAGCATGTCCCCGGACCCCCCCCCCCTAGAATGTGTGGGTCTTACAGCAGGACTAGTCAAATTTCGCTAGCTACGCCACTGATTATAAAAATACACAATCATCAGTCGAGTCTGTTCACATGCATTTCGTGAGCTAAAATATCTTAGCAGAAGCCAGAAATTATATCAAAATCACACTGGGCTTCCACACTCGTTGATTTCCATGTTCATAACTTGAGTAATCTCGACAGAATTTAGTGAAAAGTGTGTTTAGTCACGCGGAAAGCTCGCAAGTATAAAAGACAATGCAAGGCCAAGTCCTGCCATTTCGAGAGAGCAGGACTTCGCATTTGTAAACAGTTGGTTTGAGCATGCGCAGACCTAATTATCCAATCAGAAACCAAGATTTCTTGTATGAGTTTACTATGAAATATACTAGCAAGTCCTGCCATTTGAAAATGGCAGGACTGAAACACGAGCGCGTGTAAATCAATGTAGAATTGCAGTTGCTAGGTAACAGACCCGGCAAGCCGTAAAATTGCGTAAATATAACACAATGCGAAAAACTTTTTAAAAAATAATAACGAAAAGGACGAGAAAATAAGAAAAAAAACAGTATGATAATGACAAAATAACAATATGATAATGATAAATTTTTAAAGCTTCAAGAGAAATAAAGCAATGTTTTAGTAACGAAATTTGGGGAAATTTTTAGTCCTGCTGGGCAGGACAAGCAGGACCGCTAGCTACGCCACTGCAGATAACACACTTTATCTTTCTTTTAATTTTGTTAAATGACTTTTTGCAATTATAGCAAGTATCGTCAGTAAATATGCTCATTTTAATGATTGATGATATATAATCAGGATTCGATTAGATAAACACCCTGGCACGTCCTGATACCAATACCATATTATATACACCCTGGCACGTCCTGATACCAATACCATATTATACAGGGACTTTTATAATTTATTTATATTACGTGTTATGGTTCATCTCTTGGCAGTGTTACCTATCTCAGTATTCAGAACGGTTGTGTGCTTCAGGAGTTTCCATGTGAAAAATGGTAAGTACCAGAATCAGAATCAATAATCAATTTAGTTTTGCACTTATTTCTATAGCTTATACAAAGATATTCATTAGTATAATCACCTCGCCTTCGGCGAATAACTGTTAAGTAGCAACTTACTATAAAAAATACAGGGAAATGTAAAAAATTAAAATTTTAGCCATGCGATATACGATCGCAGTTCGATAAGCTATATGATCAACTCATAAACGCCTACTATCTTCTAACGTTACTATATATATAGATTAAATGGAGACCGTGCGACATCCACGCAAGAAAGGATGCGAAGAGACTGCAGCTCGCGCTGTATTCAGGAGGGTTCAAGCTTTCCATAGGAAGTTAGGAACCATCAAATCGGCTTAGATTTGCGGCTCACATATACATTGAGCAAATAGTTTCCAAAAGCCTCTCAATGTTCTTCTTTTCTTGCTCGTTTGGGCAGTCGACGGGTGCAATGGCGAAGTTAAATTTCAAATTAAAATATGCGATTTTCCATTTTATTTTTTTTCCGCAAAGAGGTATTTTTATTTTTTTCTTGTAGAATGAGCGATTTCTGCGACAAAATTATAGCCGTCCGCAGCAACGTATTTTTCTTGCCTTTAAATTACAATACCTTTTGAGAAATATGATGCGCAAAAATCCGCAATGTTGATTGTTTTCACACAATTCCGGTCGCATAATTTGCGTACAACATTACCAGAAATATGGGACATTTTGCTCCCGCTTTTGTAGTCAGCGGCTAAGTCCGTTTTATATGCCTAACATTGCCTAACATAAGTAAAACGACTTCGCATTTTACTTTGAATCTCCAATTCAAGTATTATTCAGCCAAAAATTGTGATTTTAAACTATATTTTGCAGTTTTTGCTGAGCACTTCCGGTATTTTGACCTTTAACCCCGCAAATTTTTATCAAGACTAAAAATATCGCAAATATCCTAAAAAATCCTAAAATATCCCTGTGTTTTTACGTGTGAGAGCCTGGATCTAGTCTTGCAAAATAAACAAGAAACATGGCTGTTCGAAACAGCTCAAATTTGTATTAAAACTTGTCGTTTTTGGATGTTAAGATGGCCTAATGGCGACATACAAGAACCGTAAAAAGGCCAACTTTTAAACGATTTTGGAACCGGTTTGTCGTGGATTAACTAGCATTGTTTTTGGATAAATTAACTGTTTGAACATCGACAATTACATCGCGAAGTCCACAGCTTGAATCGCCCGAAAGGATACTACATTATTCGACGGATATCTATCTGGTGTATAAGCGATTTGCTATAAAATTACACTATCAACTCGATGGTATTGCCAGTGGAAGTACGTGTATCTCGGGAACCACCTAGACGTAAACAAATGCTAACAAACTTTATGTAGAAATGTTGCTTGTTCATGTCGTTGTTATTATCGAAGTCCACAGTAATGAAACATTTAAACAAAGTAGGTTAAAATTTTATATTTTTGTCAACTCCTATACTGTTTATAGTAATTTTCGGTTGCCATATTAAGGCAAAGTGCGCATGTCCATCGCCATCTTGTCCCAAATTTCTGGTGATGATGACGTACGATCCGCGTAAAATCCGCAATGCGGATTCATTTTTCCACTCATTCAGCAAAAATTGTTAAAATTTGCGAACTAAATAAAGGTCAAAATATCGGCAATACAGATTTATTTTCTCAGTCGATACAGCAAAATTTATTCTAAATTGCCCATGGATGTTATAATATATATATATATATATATATATATATATATATATATATATATATATATATATATATATATATATATATATATATATATATATATATATATATATATATATATATATATATATATATATATATATATATATATATATATATAAATTAAGGTACAACAAATCAACAAAATCCACTAGGCATCTTTATAACTAAATAGTTTCGTACCACAGTATGTGGCACTCTTCAGATAAATTGACCTATTGACTATATATATATATATATATAAATATATATATATATTAAAAATGTTAAAATTGTAACCAGGATTAGACATATTATTGAGATGTAGAAAGGTTTGACACTAGTTTGATAAAAACGTTAAAAACTACGTTTATTTAAAAATATGTTAAGACGCTTCGACAAGTGACTTAGGTCTTCGTCAATTAAAAAGTTGACTAGGTTCAAAACTGAACAATATATACAGGTTCAGAGTTAATTAGCAGATAAGTGTTTTATA